CTTTCAGCCATTTTAGATTCCTCTATTGAAAATTGTCTGTTTAGTTCTTTACCCCAATTTTTAATTGGGCTTTTTGGTGTTTTGGAGACTAGCTTCTTGAGTTCTTTGTATATTTTGGAGATCATCCCTCTGTCAGATGTGGGGTTGGTGAATATCTTTTCCCAGTCTGTGGACTGCCGTTTTGTCTTGCTGACCGTCTCCTTTGCCTTACAGAAGTTTCTCAGTTTCAGAAGGTCCCATTTATTGTTGACCTCAGTGTCTGTGCTACTGGTGTAAGGTTCAGGAAGTGGTCTCCTGTACCGATTAATTCAAGGGTATTTCCCAATTTGTCTTCTAATAGGTTCAGTGTAGCTGGATTTATGTTGAGAACTTTAATCCATTTTGACTTAAGTTTTGTGCAAGGCGATAGGCTTGGGTCTATCTGCAGTCTTCTACATGTTTGCAACCAGTTATGCCAGCACCATTTGTTGAAGATGTTCTCTTTGTTCCATCGTATAAATTTGGATAGTTTGTCAAAAATCAGGTGTTCATGGGTGTGTGGGGTAATATCAGGGTTTTCAATTCTAGTCCATTGGTCTACCTGTCTATTTTTGTGCCAATACCAAGATATTTTCAGGACTATAGCTCGGTAATAGAGCTTGAAGTTTGGGATGGTAATGCCTCCAGAAGTTCCTTTATTGTATAGGGATGTTTTGGCTATCCTGGGTCTTTTGGTTCTCCATATAAAGTTGAGAATTGTTCTTTCACAGTCTGTGAAGAATTGTGTTAGGGTTTTGATGGGGATTGCATTGAATCTATAGATTGCTTTTGGCAAGACTGCCATTTTTACTATGTTGATCCTATTGTTTACTATCCAAGAGCATGGGAAATCTTTCCAATTTCGGGTATCTTCTTTAATTTCTTTCTTTAGAGACTTAAAATTCTTATGTACAGGTGTTTCACATTTTTGGTTAGTGTTGCCCCAAGGTATTTTATGTTTTTGTGGCAATTGTAATGGGTGATGTTTCTCTGATTTCTTTCTCCACCAATGTGTCATCAGTGTATAGTAGGGCTATGGATATTTTTGAGTTAATTTTGTATCCTGCCACTTTGCTGAAGGTGTTTATCAGCTGTAGGAGTTCCCTGGTAGAGTTTTTTGGGTCATTAATGTAGACTATCATATCATCTGCAAATAGTGAGAGTTTGACTTCTTTCTTTCCGATTTGTATTTCCTTGATCTCCTCTTGTTGTCTAGAACTTCAAGGACAATAGTGAAGAGGTACTGAGAGAGTGGACAGCCTTGTATGGTCCCCGGTTATAGAGGAATTGGATTGAGTTTCTCTCCTTTTAATTTGATGTTGGCTGTTGGCTTGTTGTATATTGCTTTTATTATGTTTAGGTATGTTCCTGTTATCCCTGATTTCTCCAAGACATTTATCATGAAGGGGTGTTGGATTTTGTCAAAGGCTTTTTCAGCATCTAGTGAGATGATCATGTTTGTTTTTTTTTCTCATTTTGTTTATATGATGGATTACATTGATGGATTTTTGTATGTTGAACCATCCTTGCATCCCTGGGATGAAGCCTACTTGATTGTGGTGGATGATTTCTCTGATGTGTTCTTGGATTCGATTTGCCAGTATTTTATTGAGAATTTTTGCATCAATGTTCACGAGGGATATTGGTCTGTAGTTCTCTTTCTTTGTTGTGTCTTTGTGTAGCTTGGGTATCAATGTAATTGTAGCCTCGTAAAAAGAGTTTGGCAATGTCCCTTCTGCTTCTATTTTGTGGAACAATTTGAGGAGTATTGGTATTAGCACTTTTTGAATTTCTGGTAGAATTCTGCAGTAAATCCATCTCGCCCTGGCCTTTTTTTGGTTGGGAGACTTTGATGACTGCTTCTATTTTTTGATGACTGCTTCAATTTCCTTAGAGGTTATAGGTCTATTTAAGTTGCTTATCTGTTCTTGATTCAATTTTGGTAAGTGATAACTGTCCAGAAAATTGTCCATTTCAGTTTAATTTTCCAATTTTGTGGAGTACAGGTTTTTAAAGTACTACCTGAAGATTCTCTGGATTTCTTCAGTGTCCGTTGTTATGTCCCCCTTTTCATTTCTGATTTTGTTAATTTGCATGATCTCTCTCTGCCTTTTGGTTAATTTGCTCAGTTTTATTCATAGCAGCACTATTTGTAATAGCCAGAAATTGGAAGCAGACTAGATGCCCCTCAAAGGAAGAATGGATAGAGAACATGTGTTAACATTTACACAATGGAGTACTACTGAGCGGAAAAAAACAATGGAATCTTGAAATTTGCAAGAAAATGGATGGATCTAGAAGAAACCATTCTGAGCGAGGTAACAAATATGGTATGTATTCACTCATATGCGGATTTTAGACATAGAGTAAGGATTACCAGCCTACAACCCACACTGCCAATGAAGCTAATAAACATGGAGGCCCCTAAGAGAGACATACATGGTCCCCTGGAGAAGAGGAGAGGTTCAAGATCTGATGAGCAAATTGGGAGCACGGGAAAAGGGGGGAAGGAGCTAGGAGAATGAGGAGAGAGGAAGAGGGATGCTGAGTACATGAGGGATCAGAAAATATGAGTCCGGGGAAGAATACATGATAACAAGAATGGAGATATAATAGAGGGAGACACTTTTGGTTTACAGAGAAATGAGGCAGTAGGGTAATATCTGGAGATCTACAAAGATGACACCAGCTAACTATCTCAGCAACGGAGGAGAGGCCACCTCAAATGCCCTCCCCTGATTATGAGATTGATGACAGACTTATATGCCCTCATCCAGCAGCTGGTGGAAGTAGAAGCAGACACTCATAACTATTCACCGATCTGAACTGGAACCCAGATGCAGATAGCTTGAATACCAGCATGGGACTGATCCAGACCCAAGGAACATGGGTTTCTGTGAGGAAACCTCGGAAATCTACAGGACCTCCTGTAGAAGCCCAGTATTTATCCCTAGCATAGGTGTGGACTTTGGGAGCCCAGTCCATATAGAGGAATACTTCCTGAGCCAAGACACACGGGGGTGGGCCTAGGCCCTACCCCAAAAGAAAC